GGATCTAATAAAGATTATTGCTCTTACGGATCAACACCCGTGGACACGGACCTAGACGGATTGAACATTTCGAGACTAGTTTAAACTGGCTCCACTGACGCTAGACATCTCAATTCCTGATTCAATTAAAAAAAATATTGCCAGTTAATATCAGTCTGCCAGTTAACTTTAGGGTATCCAGGGAAATAAAATATCACAAACGTTTTAAGGCTTAATAACAGGATGGACTGCCCGTATCGGTTTTCAACGATGGAGGTTCAGCCTTAGTTTTGAATTTGACGAAAATCTTGAATAGAGTTTTGGCTGAATAGTATGAGCCGATTATTTTACCGATTTAAATTTTCAACCCTCGTGAAATTTTGGAACATAGACAATCTCGATCCGACTCAGTCAACCGCTCAAAACTTTGAAGTTGCGTCTTCCTGGAGGGTGTACTCGAGAATTTGATTTCAATATAACGATTCCTTTATACTAAAAGCTGAAGCCGAGTTCGGCACTTTTGCGCCCGAGTTCAACACCGAAAGCGGTGTTNAGCGGTGTTCGTCAGGGTTTCCGTCTCTCTCTCTCTCTCTCTCTCTCTCTCTCTCTCTCTCTCCGTTTCTGTTTAACTTTGTTATAGATTTGATTATTGAAACAGCCTCATCCTCGTGCGAGGATTGGGACCTTGATTTCCTCCTAGATGGCAGGCTGTTTGATCTAGAGTATGCAGACAACATTGTGCTGCAAAGTGAAGATCCAGGTAAGTTACAAGCTTTTCTGGATAGTTTGAGTGCTAGTGTAGCCATGTTCGGTATGCGTTTTGTACTTTCAAAGTGTAAAATGTTACGACAAGACTGGGTTGGTCCAGCATCCAGCCTCACTCTAACTTGGGAAATAATAGAGCAAGTGGATAAGTTTTGTTATTTGGGCAGCTACATCTCACCCGGTGAACGCATCACGGATGATGTGTCAGCTCGCATAAAGAAGGCTCGATTGGTACTTACCAACTTGAGACAGGATAAAGATAAAGATATCGGTGTTCGAACACCGCTGTCTACGCAGCATTGCAGGAGTGTGGAGGAGAAACCGGAGAAGCAATGCTGAGGTTAGGCACAGTGTTTTGGGCAATCACGATCGCCCACTGGAGCCAGTAGATGGCTTCCATAGATTACGCTGGACAGCCAAAAGAAAGCGAACTGGAGCATGACACGAAAGTGCATAGTTAATGATTGTTCTAAGTGAAACTGATGCTAGAACTATTTTGACTACATGCCATCCAGTTCGGGTACGATGAGTCTTGTTCAAGTTTCACTGGACCTTTAGATTCATTCATTGTACGTGCACTTTTTCTCTCTCATGCAGAACAAGAAAATAGAAATGGCGGGTCTTCAAAAGGGAAGCATATTTTTGAATTAGCCTATACCGGATTGATTTCCGGTCCTCAAAGGCCTCAGATCTTTTGATAAAAACCTATCTCCCTAATTACCTTCATTTCGGAAGAAAAAATGATGTCACATGGTACAAACTGATCACTTGGGACAAAAGTTGACAGATCTGAATGAGAACAATGACCAGTTGAATCGTGTGCTGTCAATCGTTCCAAATGCGGTGGCTGAATGTGAAAACCGTCGAACTATTCAGTTACTTCCCACACACACACACACATGCCCAGCATCCTTGGACCAGGAGTTCTGATCAGATGGAAAAGATTGTGACTGTTATACCAACGACTACGGCTTCTGTTATTTTGACACATTCTTCAACCCACCGATTATCACAATCATTCTCTAGATTTTAATGATTCGAGGTTTGAGTGATACGCACACAGTTTCCTATTTGATATCGGGAGGAATGGTTTCGTGAGCGTCCTGTAAAGCAGCAGAGAGATCGAGGAAATCTGCCGTTTGTGTTTTGATCGTATGTCAGAAATATTTGACTAGTTTTCAATGTTCATCGAGTCTTTCGGCGGTTGACTGAATCGAGAGACGACAATAGACAAACAGTCTCGCTTACAGTGAAGAGTGTGGGTATCTGCGCCCGGTGACGCTGGGGCAGTGAGATATAAATGGGAACCGGTAACCTGTCCGCCTCTGTCCCCCCCCCCCGCTCTGTGGGACACGGATTCGATCCTGTGTACACAAAAGTTCCTTATACAATCAGTCAGACTGCCATGGACTTGATTTCCCACCCCACCCTCTCCCCCGCTTCCCTGACTATTGTCCGTTTTACCACGGTAGTTATCAAAACTTGCTTGTATAAATACCAGATTGTTTTACGTTGTAGCGACTGAAGAGATTAAAAGAAATATTAACATCTAGCAGTATTTGTCTTCTCTCTGTTCTAACGAATTGGACACGGATTCATCAAAGCTTCACGAGGATACGTGTGATACTGGGCTAGAGAATGTCGAAAATAATTAACACCAAATCGAGCCGATTGAGTACCAATCCTACGTTGAAATTCACGAGGTAAACCACTTGACTGTCATCAACCTACCAATCGTTATGAGCACACAATGGATGTGGGATTACGCACCGAAGTGTTTTATCGGAATCACAGAAAAGTCTATATCAAGCAGGATCCGCATACGTACATTGTAAGCCATTCAACTTGAAAAAAAATCATCACATGGGACCATAGTTTTTTCCCTTGTACTATTTACTTCCTTTCACTCGAAAACTACGACAACAAGAACAACAAAGACATACGAGTGCGCAGATAGCATTTCGTGCATCAACAGTCCAACAAGCTAAGCATAAGCAAGGCATAGATAAACGGGAGAAAATTCATACCGCATTTTGTGCATTCGTTACGTCTAACCGTTGCAAATAATCCATCGAGATCGGTTGTTGAGATGGCCGCGGTTGAACAGTTTCTGGTCGTGGGACCGCAGAGTTGATTTGTGGCACTGATGCTGCTCCCGAATACTGTGTGTTTCTGGGTGTAAAAAGCAACGGGGGTCACAACGAGAAATGGTGAAAGTGGACAACCTCGAGCAGTTGTGACTACAATCACGCTCAGACTGTCTTGCATCAGATTCGATATGAACCGAGCGAAAACCACGTCTGGAAACTGGTAACGGTTGCGAGCTAAGACAAGACTAGTAGACATGACTGAACATTTCAGAAACTCCAAAGATGCTGATTTAGGTCCACAACCCAATCCGGGTGTCCCGAATAAAGGAATGTGATGTAAATAACCTATAAAACCACCCAACAATCGATAGCACTCAGCACTGTACATATGAGAGTAGTGGAGAATTCGATTCAATCATACGGTAAATTTCGCCACGTACAGAGCAAATGAAGCGTGAACTGAAAAACTGGGACCAGTTGGACAACATTACAACCCGCTTCCAACCAATGGTTGCCTGGGAAAACACCGTACCTCTGGACGATCTATGTGGTGATGCGCGTAGCACACCTCAGGGAACGTAATCTATGCAGGTTAAATACCTATACTCTAGTGGACGACCACAATTATCTTAAACTCTGCACCGAACCTCTTTACTGTTTGCCCGATTGTCCCACCACAAGGATGCAAAGCGGTGTTCGAACACTGGTCGCCTCTCTTTTCCCGTTTCCGTCACGGCTAGGCCTATGAATCATACAACAGCACGGGTCGAGCTGCTTCAGCACGAACAACATAATCGCGACAGCATCCTAGGTGTTTTTTTTTGCGTGCCGACATTTCATCCATGAAGCATCAACCAGGCGAGGTGTAGTTACACAAATAGATACATTTGTCTCGTTTCTCTATTGCCTCTACAGTTAGAGTGAGGCTAGGAACTAGATAGACCCTCCCCCGTCAAGTGGCAGTCCGGATCGGACACAATTGGCGGTAGTCATTGAAATCAGAACCTGTGCCTGAGCAACTACATGTTCAAGATTGAAACATTTGACAAACCGCGAAAATCGGAATGGCATTTAAACGACGCACAATTGGAGTGGCCCATATATGATCATACGACTGTACAATGCAGTTTGTACTCCCCCCCATCATCATCAAGACAGCGCAAACACATTCACATTTGACCTTGAAAAATCTATTTTCGACCAATCACATCATGATAACTAAAGCCGTCAGTAAAAAGTGGGTTTCAAAACAAGTGCGACCCACCCCTTCTGAACTACATGCGGTCGTAAAAAGTGTTCTATCCTCCGGATAGAACCACAACACTATATGAGACTTTTGGGAACGCATGTAACAATCTGACGATACTGATGAGATATCTCTCGCTCGTGTTCTTATCATCGATTCGAAAGGGACCACTATCCTCATGGTATGAAGAGCAGTCCCGTCGGTTGCTTGCCTACAATGTGTGACCTTAATGATGGGAGTTGTGAATGCGCTTTGTGTTGTCCTCAAACCACACGAGTTTGCACGATGCCCAGGTTGCAGGTGTATCAGCAATCACCAAAAGAATTTTCTTTAGTTGAACGCCATGGTATTGCCATAAAATTTAGAGCAAATGAACTACATTGTGACGACAAAGCACCATTTATGGAAACTCACAAATTAAAACTCGGGACTGATTTCACCGATTCTTTGTTTCCTTTGACTGCACGGTTCATCGGCTAAGTTTACTTCATTCTATTTCGCTGTACGACTAAGATGATGGTGGTGATTGTAGCGGAGATTTCTACTAAATAGCAAATTAATTTTGCCGCGATTTGTGCAATCGGAACGCAATATAAGCGAATGGAGCAGGGAGGATTCATTTGTTTTCAAATATAAGTTATCGTGTGTTTGGGAGTTTGTCGAGGATAAATTCCTAGGCGCGTCGAATTCAGATTAGCAAAATTCACCGGTCAAGGCACTTATTGCGTAAGCCCAGCTGTCACCTTATTCGCTGTACCCACTTCGGTCTGGGGGAAACCAAATGGAGGTCAACAGATCACGTAGAGAGGAGACATGAAGAGATGCACAGAGCTATTGAGTAGAATAGGTGTCTCGTGCTTTTCAGGTTGGGATCCGGAAGACTTTGCAACTAGTACATTAGAGACATTGGAGGATATGGCAGCCAAACGACAGCAGTGGTGTTCTTGTTGTCACTCACTCCTTATCAGATCGGAATGTTTGAAAAGGTATGTATTCACAGTTAGATTTTGTACAGTGTGTTGATCATACAGGCTCACTTTCTCCCTCTTCGAAAGCAAACCCAACACTTATTCATCTTATATACGCTCACTAACTCTGTATGAATAGCGAGCTTGGCAGTGATCAATCAGGTTCGAATCTTATGTGGAATGATTGTAGCTCGGGATCCGGATTTTAGTGTGTTCACCGAGCTGGAACTGTTGCTTGCAGACGTTTCATAGCCCGACTAGGCAACCTTATCAAAGCGAATTTCAGGGAAACGCCAGGGCTCAGTGTGACCGGGCTCATATAATATACTAACTATTCGAGGATTTTGATTGGCTGTTTGCGTCCCTTCAATCCTATTGGCCAATTGTCCAGCCTGGTTTCAAAACGTCCGCAACCAACAATTTCAACTCCGATAACACACCAATACCAACGTCAGTCAGGTTTATTCCACTGTGTTTAACTGTAAGATGACAAATGTCACTCAAAGAACCGAATTTTTTGATACCATTTTAGGTGGGTTATACACACAAATACCTACCCTACTGATTGCAGATTGAGTTAAACCAATTCATCTCTGTACGATCAACTGGTCTAGGGAGGCGTATGATAACATGATGATGTATACCATTTTAGAATCTCGTCTTCTTCCAATATGCATGGATTTGGGAACACAATAGAAAAAACAACAAATGCCCAAAAAAAAGCATTTCGAAAGGACAAAATTTACCATGGACAAAGGTGACAGATAGATAACAAGATAAGTAGCCGAGGTCAAGCAATGGGAGGCCGTAAACCCGGTGTCACATAATTCGTGTAGTTGAACCATGCAATAGCGCCATTCCAATTCCACTAATTGTGGACCTCGACCCCGTTAAATGATGACACAATATAATGTTGTATATCATGTAAATGGAAGTCACAAGATTCCGTAAAAACACTGGCGAGAAAAAACGACTTACAAGGCGTTGTTACGAACCACTTGAGCCCCGTCCAAGATGCGCAAACTTGGCAGTGCTGTCAACACATGCGGCTCGTATTCACGCGGACTAAATTGCAGATAAGGAAATTAGAATTCGACCAGAGGAGAGGATATGGGACAGACAACTAACAGCTGCCCCGCCATACAGAAAAACAAAACAGAGCCTGTGGGAACACACTTGCATGGTGATTTGGTAAACAACAACAACAACAAAGAGTATGCATACAGCTCAATTTTGTCCATGTAGACAGTGTGACTAAACGCAGAGCTCAGCACGTGTTTCCAACTGATGTACTCCATGTCCTACGAAATGAGATGTTTATGATTACGGATAAGTTTTCACTCTAGTATGAAGTATGGCTCAGATATGCTGACATCCTGTTTATCAACATGCACTAAATGAAGAATGGTTTCAATTTTCAGTTTGTACAACCATTAACCATGCAATTCCGTGGGCCGGTTTTGGTTGTTGTCTTTTGGCTGCCCATTTGGATTAACAATAGGAGAAAGACAGAAAAATTGAAGGAGTAGAGTCGAACAGAAAACGGAGAATTTCAGTGGACTAAGGTTGCAAAGAAATTGAGAAGATGCAGGAATGCGATTGTTTACGAAACTCAGTCATATCACTCAGTGTATCTAACCCTCGGTTACGATCATCCTGAGATCCCCAACCAGGGATCCCAACGGGACCTATATGACCCAGTGACCTGGTAAGAGTTTTCATGTCTCATGCCAGGTCTTAGCTTAATCCCCATTGGCTTTATTCCACCCACTACCTGCCTGCGCAAACATCGCTCGCAGTGGTAACCTATTTGGTGACATGCATCATGCGTCCCCACCAACGCAATCTATGGAGGTCGACCGCTAGCTCTGGTGGGCGACTACGGTTACCTAAAACTCTGCACCTAACCTCAGCATTGCTGGTCCGGCTGCCCCACCAGATTCGTGCAATGCTGCGTAGACAGCGGTGTTCGAACATCGATAGTCCTGTCTTCTAAATGGTCAGGTTGCTGCACCGTATAGCAGAACTGGCCAAATTGCTGTAACATGCACTCGACTATTCACAGACAACCGGATGTCACGACGGCGCCACAGACGTCTCAAGTTGGCAAATGCCAATCGAGCCTTCTGTATGCGAGCTGACGCTTCAACCGGGATGCATCCACCGGGTGAGCTATAGCTGCCCAAGTAACAAAAATTGATCTATTCCTCAGTTAGAGTGAGTTTGGGTGCTGGACCAACCCAGTCTTGTAGTAACATTTTACACTTTGAATATGCAAAACGTATACGCTGGCACTCAAGCTATCCAGAAAAGCCTGTATCTTCACTTAGCAGCACAATGTCGTCTGCAAACTCAAGATCAGACAGCCTGCCACTTGGAAGTAGATCGATGCCACTATACTTGCACGAGGTATAGGACTGTCTCCATAATCAAACCTATGGTTTGATTACCTGACGAACATCACTTCCCGTGGTGAACTCGAGTGAAAAAGTGTCGTAAGCCCCGGATTCGACTTTGGCTATTAGTATAAAGGGATTGTAATATTGAAGTAAACTTCTCGGGTACACCCTTCAGGGAAAGATAGAGCCAGAGTTTAGAGCGGTCGACTGAGTCGAAAGCCGCTTTCAAATTGAAAAAAGAAGATGATGCGTCTACGAAAAGAATGTCGATGCCCCAGAGTTTGACGAAGAGTGAAGGTGTGGTAGATACAACTTCGACCAGGCCTAAAACCAAACTGATTCTCATGCATGTACCATTCACGTGCGATGGACAATCGACGGAATATGATCCCGGCGAGAAGTTTAGAGACAATTTTGTTCAAACTAATTCCTCTGTGGGTGTTCACAAGAGGATCTGTCACCTTTCTTGTAAAAATTGGTAAGGAGACCGATTCACACTAATCGGTTGGACCTTGTTCACTCTCCCTTACCGAATTCAGGGGTTTCATCAACCGCACAATCTAGTTCACTGAACATTGAGTTCAGTGCCGGGAATATTCTGCTAAGTTCATCAACTTCACCCCGGACAAAAGTGTTTTCATTCAGGTGAGGAGATGAAAAGTCAATCTCCGGGGACTGCGGTCGGGTGGAACACCCGTCAGTAACTGATTGGTCTAAGAGAGTTGGACGAACAGAATATTTGGAATCACCCATAAAGTAAGAAGCATACGCACTGGTCCCGGACTAACTAACAAGTTCAATTATCACCGACCCAATTGAATGTATCGGGCTCTCTAGACGTTACAGTTTCGGTAAATTACACCCTGATGGATTGTAACCTCAATCGTAAGTTAAATTATTCTGTCTAAAACCTCAGCCAAGAGCTCGAAAATCGACCGAGTCGCCCAACATCCCACATCCCTGATATCACCATAAAAACGAGAACGTGCTTCAAATCACGTTGTTAGTCTCAGTGTGGGGAACGACAAATGGATTGATTACCTCATATACCATCGCTTACTTATTATGACCCGCAATCTGTCCGTACAGGTCGAAAATTGCAACTATTCCGCACCTGAACTCAGACAGTTTTATCCAATACACCTGGTTTTCAGTTTCAGTTTTCACCACTATTAACCATGCGCTGTCGTGCATCGGTTTTGGTTGCTGTCTTTCGGCCTTCCATTTAGATAGAAGAGCAGAATGAAGATTGGAATGTTGAGGGCAGAGCCGATGAGAATATAGAGAATTGGTAGAGTTGATGCACGTGCGTCACCGTTTGCGACACTCACTCTGTGTCTCTAATCACCGGTTGCCATGATCTCGGGAACCCTATCCCTATCCAGGGAATCCAATGGGACCTTTGTGACCCAGTGTCCTGGTCAGGGTTTTTATAACCTCATGCCAAGTCTTGGTTTGACCACCCTTGACTCTTTTCCAACCAGTGCCCGCCTCGGAAACTCACTTGGTGCCATAAACAGCTAATGCACCTGGACTATCCATTTGACACCTCAAACACTATGCTCTCGGGAAGTGTTAACTGAGTCCGCATTATGTGACCGAACTATTGTTGCATGAAATATAATTTTATCAGAGGGGGAAAAGTAACGACATACACGACATGGGATGGGGCTTCAGAGGCTGGAACATCGCGACAATAAACTTGGTTGGGGACAAATTCATTCAAGATAAAAGGATACATACAATTTGTACAGGGATTATTCTGTATTGAAAATTGAGCCAGTGTCTGTAGGAAGCTGAGATTGTATACCTAGAGGAAAAGTTGTGGGTAACAACGACAATAAATACCTGACAAGTACACCTACCTCATTAATATCCGCTAATACGTTACTGGCCAAGGAGAAGATCTCCAAACATTTTGGTAAATAGTTGGACGCTTTTTCCAACGAGCTTATTCGATTCCCATGTAACAGTAAAGTCTGAAAATGAGCAACAAAAGTATGCACTGGACCATACACAATTCCGACTTACTGTCAATTTACGCAAATTGGTTATATCACTCAGTTGAGTTATACAGTTCTCGGACAAGTCTAAATGTTTCAAATTGATATTCCCCTCCAACTGATCCATGGTCTAAAACAAACAGACGAGCAAATCAGATACAACGGAGACTCGATTACAGACTTTTAATCGATTTCCCGACAAATTTAACCATCTGAGTCTGTTCAGTTTGAGCAAACCTAGGAACAATAATGATCGATCAGCGTGTTGAGATAAAGGGACAATTTGGACTTACCATCAATCGCCACAATCCCGTTATTGGGTAGATTCAGAATGGTCAAATGAGTCAGATTGGCCACTCCGTGCATTTGTAATAATTTGTTACCGGCCAAAGAGAGCTAACCGATGATTAGTCCGAAACCGACAGTTGAACACACACCTGTTGTAAATCGTATATGTTGCCCAAATTTTCCAAACGTCGAATGTAGTTGTGATCTAGAATCAACACGTTCACATTGGACGGGACCGGTTCGATTCGATCCAATTCCCGTTTGGACAGATTGAGAATAATCTCCCCATGAGGACCGGTCACGGTGGGCACACCCTCGAAACCTTGACGAAGAAAGTTGTACATCTCTGGTGCGCATATGTGCTTAGTTCTGTCCGGAGAAACTGAAAATGAGTTCGGTTTGAAGAATAAAACAAAAGTGACAAATACGAATAGTGTAGGTCGTGCTGAAATTAGTTTTCAAAAAAGCGAAAAAAATGGCATCGTATGTGGAGATCAGATTCTCGGTAAACAATGGCCGCGGAAAACCTGTTTAGTACTATCTTGGATTGCCTAGTGAATTTTCCGGGGTGGGTGGGGGAAAAGCAGTCAGTGATCACTGTTGCCGATGCGAAATTCAAAAACCAATTAAGCCTAAGGTTTTTTTACTGCAAGTTGCAGGACTGAGTATGCTAGGTACCACAATCGAACGGTAGGTCTGTGTGGTTACGGGGTTAGATAAACCGAATGGGTTATAAAACAACAAAACAATACCACGTCCAACCTAGCCTTATCTGGTTCACCATTCCAACTCCCGTGGGGCTTAGGTTACCGGTCTCCATCACTGAACAGCAGGTTCTCGTGACTATGGGATCCACCCCGTCTGTTGTTCATAGCTCTAAGTTGTGATAAAAATCAATTTGAAAATAGAAATAGCACACCTACGAAAAACTGATTAGCCACAATTGAAGCATAGAGAAGTGGAGTCAGTGAAGTTCACTCGCAAAATGCCTCCAAATGGAGCGGAAAAACCGATGGGATAAAAAGGTAATGGAAAGCTCTTGTCAAACTAGTATAAAGGACAATTCAGTTAACTTGGTGCAGACCTGGTTATCCCAGCGGCTGAAGTTCAAGCTAATTGGGTTGTGTCAACTACCTGTACGATCCACCATTCGAATGCTGGAAAGAAAAAGCCAACTTAACCCGATGAGATTCCCGTGATCAAATTAAGGTAGAAGGCGATTTCTTCGTCAATGCTATACCTGTTTGTGTTACACATCGTTAGGAGTGAATCAATCAACATTTTTTCTTTCAGGAGAAAAATCACGCCCCCCCCCCCCGTCACCTAAATTTCCACTTCCGTGATACTTTGCCGCCCGATGCCTTTAATAAAATAAATATTCATTAATACTCGGCCAAGATTTTTACCTCATTGGTTTTCTATTTATCAAAATCTTCATAACTTAAGTCACACACACACAACACACCCCATCATTATCACTAGCGTCCAGCCAAATACAACGAAGTGAACTCCACCGATCGCCACAGTGGTGAGTCTATTTTCAGGGAGGGGAAAAATGAACCTCTGTGGTCAACACACTACACAATCTAAAGCTGCATACATACCTTTTCAAGCATTCTGTCCTGATAGGAAATGACAGCAGGAACACCATTGCGGATGATTCGCTACCATAGCCTCCAAANGCATTTCTTCATGTCTCCTCTCCATGTCATCTGTTGACCTCTACGTGGTTTCCTCCGACCCGGAGTGCCTACCGCAAATAAGGCGACAATTGGGCATACGCAATAAGTGCCTTAGCCGGTGGAGCTTACCGAGTTGAATTCAATGAGCTAGCAAATTTATCCCATATACATTTCCAAACACACAACGGCTTACTTACAGATTACTAACCCGTTCTCTCCAGTCCATTCGGGCCAAGCTACGTCAACATTGACAATCAAAACCTTCTAATGGATGGTTATCTTCTACTTGCAAACTCAAGGTCTCACAACAATCAAGGAGAACTGAAAGAACGGTAGCACAACATACACCATCTTTTAACTTCATTGATACGTCGCGTTCACGTGGTTTCACTCCCGCATATGCTACTCGAACCTTGAAATGCGAGCGGTTATCTTTCTTGCTGAGCTAGTGTCCTTGGTCACATATCTACCTAAATTCAGTTCAGTTTATACAACCAATAAGAACGCATTTCCGTGCGACACTTTTTGTTGCCCATTTGGGTGAACAATGGGAGGAAAACAGGAAGGTTGAAAGTAGGATCGAAGAGAAAGTTGAGAAGTTCAGTGGACTAATGAGGCAGAGAAATTGAGATGCACGAACGCCACTGTTTACGACACACAGTCATATGACTCAGTGTCTCGGTTACGACCATTCCGAAATCCCAAGCCAGAGAGCCTAACGAGACCTATGTGACCCATACTGCTTAGGGTTTTCATACCCTTATGCTAGGTCTTAGCTTGGCCACCCTTGGCTAAGTAGGAAAAGCACACCCCGTCGAGAAGCTGGTTGCGGTGTTCCTCGATATGAAAGTTGCGTTTAACCCGGCTGACCGCAAAGCCCCTTTTTGGTTTCTGCTGATTGAAATAGCAGTGAATGAGTCCGTTTATGTTGCAATGCACGTATATTCATAAGCTAGAAAACAATCCAATTCAGCGTAGTGCGTATGGGTCCATAGTGACAGAAAGAACTTCGATCCGTAGTAACTCGGTGGTAACGGCACCAAATTATGACCTCGAGGATGTGTTCGAATCCCACCACCACTGCCCCATCACGACGAGACTGCACCTTGACGCGGTGTGATGGCTTGCGTGCCTCCATGACCCAGCGAGCTACACAGGATAGCTTTTCATAGCCGTAGATCCAATCATGCCCGAAAGGTCAACGGGTAGAGGCCAGACGGAGCTCATTCTCACAAGCCAGCTGCTTGGGAACTCCCTGGCTTCTTTCTTCTATCCACACCCTCCGCTGGAGAGGGTCACTCCAGTAAATAAACACGGTGAGGGGCAGTTTACCGGTCAAAAAACCCCGCTAGATGCACGTAGGAACGGGGACCTGGGGCTTCTCTCGACGGTGGGAGAAGTCTTCGCACTTTATTGGACAGCTACCGCCCGCCCAAGCTGGGCAGCCCCCAGCCAACAAGGTGCTGTCCTGTCCACATTCCGCCTGTCTCATTGGGTGCATGAGGCTGAGGGCTGATCCCGAAAAGCGGACCGATAATCAACAC